ATCTGTCAACTACAGCCAGGATTTCTTGAGTGGCCTGTGATGTTGCTCTATTCTGGCCTGTCTGTGAACATTCAATTCTTTGGCACACTCTGTGCTCTAATATCATCAGGGATACTCACACTAATGCCTCAGAGGCATTTGGCACTTCTTTGTGAGGGTAACACATAGGAAATTTAACCAATTGATTTGTTACTTTGCTTTTAGTTTCTTGAGACAGGTTCTCTCTCCATAACCCTGCATGTTCAGGATCTACCTATGTTGATCAGGCTAGCCTTGAATTCACAAACATCAACCTGCCTCTACCTCTAACACTATCTCTGCCTCTGCCTATGAATCTGCCTCTGTAATTGCCCTGGCCATGACCCTGGCCCTGGCCATACCACAAGAGTGTTGAGACTAAAAGAACAATCCCACAAACAAATAGAATCAAGTTTCTATCTATGTGCATATCCAGGTTTCCCAGCATGACTGGATGAAGAGGTCATGTGGAAGCCAAGGTGAATTTTTCTTATCTACTAAAAATCTGAATATCTGTATATCTGTAGCCATGGCAGACATCCTAAGAATGTCATCCAACTGTTGTAGTGGTCTAAGTGCAGAGGTGCACTGAAAGGTGCACATCCCACTTACCAGGTACTGACTACTTCCTTGACTCTTTTTCAGTGGTGCAAACGGAGACTTCTCTGGGAATCACACCTCAAGCCAGAGACTTCATCAGCTGCAGAATGGAACTCTGCTACTCCTACACCCTGGATTACCAGATGAGGACACCACCTGTTAATGGGCACAAGTCATTAACTACCTTCAACCACAACCTTCAGAATTCCTGGCATTGCCACAAGCTCCATGCCTGGAAAAAAACATAGAAAGACAACCTGCATGAGATGGCAATATCTGTCATTGCCTCTGGCTGCCTTTGAGTGCACGAAAGAACACCAAGACCCATCTCTCCTCCCTTTAGAACACCCTGACATGCAGCATCCCTTGAAATTCACTGATGCTGGGAGCCTAGGGCAGAAGCTTGCTTCTGACATTGCCACATTGGGAAGCAGCAGTCTTGGTCAGGATGAGCCTGGGGCATACACAGTGTGTTGGCCTCCAGCATGGACTTTGCAGACATGACTACACTGGTGGCAGAAGTTCACCTCCCCAAATGTTCAATCCACTCTCTAAACTAAACCAATTCCAGGTTTAGTTTAATTCTCACAGCCACCCAATGCAAAGACTCCATTGTAATCAGGAGCGATCAAGACCAGTAAAGATAAGGTGTCATCAGCACATGCTTAAACCAGGTGAGGAGCAAAGAAGAGAAAAGCTCTCATCTGATTGATGGAGATTCTCTGCCAGAATCTAGTATCAGGACCTGGTGGAGGGACAGAGCCTGGGAACAGTTCTGCGACTAGAGAAGGTGATATTGACAACATCACCCAGTATATAGAGGGCAAAGCTCAGAAAGCCACACTCTGCAGGCCCAGCAGACCTAGGAATCATAGAAGACAACACCAAGAGTACTAGAGAAATCAACTCGAAGAAAGCTGAGGGAGCTGACGCTATGAAGTCACAGAGTCAAGACAGAAGACAAGCCCACTGTCCTCAACAACAAGAAGATCAATGCACCTGAGCTCAACCCCGATGGCTTTGACAAGCCTCAAAACCACCTCAGCAAGCACATGCTGGAGTCTGTGAAGGTCTGTCACTCACTGTGGAAGAAGGGTGAGAGGAAAACTGGCATCTCCTGAACCTTGAACTCTTTGTGCCACTCTGTGCTCTAATAGTGACAGAGTTGGTCACACTTTAGCCTCTGGGACAATTGCCATTATCTTTATCCAGGATTACATATAGCAAGCAGAATTCATTTATTTATTAACTCACTTTTAGTTTCTTGAATTGGGACCCACTCCATACCCAGCATCTCCTAGAACTGACTACATGGAACAGGCAATCACTGAACTCAAAAAGATCTGCCTGCTTCCCCCTCTGCAACAACCTCCATCTCAGCCTCTGCCTCCCCTACAGCCTCCACATCTGCATACTTCTAGGCCACTGTCTCAAGTGTGCTGTGATGAAAGGAATTCTCCAACCAGAAAGGTGGAATCAACGTTTTTTTTCCATACCCGTGAATAACCACATTTCAGTGCATGACTTGATGAAGAGTCCATGTGTACTCCAGGGTACATTTTTGGTACATACCTAAAATCCAAAGAGACTAAGCCACATGTTTTTACAAATGCAACTTAACTCAGATTCATTTTTTCCTGACAATCTGTCTTGTTTCAGTTGTAGGCTCTACTTGTTACAATGCCCTTGAAGCACTGACCTCTTATGAGGTGTGCTCATGCTATCCTGGGTATTTTCTACTTTTGTAGTAAAGTTATGATTGCTTTTCTACTTCTAAGGAGTGGGGAATCTCAGAAATTTTATTCACCCTCTCCATAGAGACTCATGGTGCAACTTTCTTCACA